GGGAAATTAGAAGTTTCGTGGCAGTCCTCCGCGAACTAGCCAACCGGACAAATGGATAGAATTCAATGCCGACGAACGTTTCCGTAGCTCCCTTATTGCTCCCCCGGGATGTTTCCCGAGGGATGCCCGCCGAAATTAGTCCATATTATTTTGGTGAGTGAGAGGCGCGAGGGCGGAAGCGGTTAGACGAGCAGTTTGTTGCCCGAAAGACGACGGGGCGTCGATGGAGAAAGACGAATCGACGCTCTGGAATCTAAGGGTGGCGATGCAGGATCTGATTTCGCACGTTCTTGAATAAAAGAACCTCCGGGAAAATGCTACAGAAACGTAATTCGATACAATACATAATTGTCAAAAATTTAATTTTCATACACGTGTCGCTATAAATAATTAGATTATTTCCTGTCATTTATATTCAACTACCTTCCTCTAATTAACTACAATTCGATCTTAAATATTCGAAAAGACTTGTACATAATTCAATTTGCGTAATTTAATTTGTAATTAATTTATGTAATTAATAATTGCATGTAATTTAATTTGATTTAATTCAATACATGTTTAATGCACTCGCATTACGAGTTATTCCGTTATTGTTTCTAATCAGGATCGATTGCATATTTTAAATGCCGGTATCGATCCGGTCATAAGACAAAGCGTCACTCGCTCGTTAGGAAATCGAGACGCTGGAAGGTGGCAGCCGCGTGTCGGGGCTTTAAACATGATGAGGGCACGTCGTATCGACCGCAGGACCCAATCTCCGTCCCGCATTACTTCCATCTATGTGTCTGGAATACATATAGGACGCGCACGCTCGTTGGAGGCATATGTGCACGTCGATTTAATCGTTACGTAAGTGCATCACGAAATGCTGGTCGCTATCTCTTTGTGAACGAGGGGATAATCGCTCCAATTAAGCCGCTTTCCCACGGATTCCGCGTGCATACGTGCGTGCATACATCCCGCTTGATGCCTATAAACGATCGATATCAATAATATCAGACGATATTGTATATCGATATCGAGCAATTTCGCGGGATCTTTCATCGCTTAATAAGGCCGAGTCGAGTTTTGCCATTAATCTTCATTTGCTGGATCTCGCAGCAATGATCGAAGATGAAGCGCGTTATTTTCAGGTTATTTCGGCTGATGAGCAGATCAGGTCGGGATAAAGATTGCAATTCGGCCGACGCGCGATAATGCTCGAAAAAAAGAATCTGCGAAAGCAAATCGACCATCGAGCCCGCTCGCTCGCGTCTCGTGCCGATGTATCGGATTCGCATTCGTTTTTTTTTCATCCTACTTTTTTTATATATAACAGGTATAAAAAAAATATTACATTCCGCTCACCGACAGTATTGGTTATTAAACGCTTTTGAATGAATACTGCATGAGCGCACCGTGCTCGAGAATATACCGTCCGTATATTATATCCACTCGCGCGCATGGATGCGTGCACGCACTCGAGTACGGTTCTGTTAAATAATTTTTTGCTTTTCACAAAGTGAAAAATGTGATATCCGCAAAAAGTAATCCGCTTGTCCGAGCGGTAATCGAATGAACCGTTTAGAGACCGGACATACACTCGATCGCAAAAGTCTGCGAAATCTAAGGAAAATGTGAAAAAGCATCGGGACTAAAGCTCGCGCTCGATCGATTTATTTGGATTGTGGTGAGAGATACGCTCGAGACGAGAAACTGGAGAAGGAGAGGAAAGAGAGTCGAGCGACGTGTTAAGAACGTCGTCTAAATATACGGAGCTGACGAATGATCCCGCGGGGCGAATCTGCAATTCGTTTTTCTCGCCTTTATTCTCGCGTGCAAACGTCGACCGTTTAGCGCGACAACGAATCAGATCGCTGCTCCACCTTTCTCGCCCATCCTTCCACGAAAGCGTTCTTTCGCTGCGATTAACAAGATTAGCCAAGCGCGACTATGTGCTTCTGGAAAATGTAAATGAAACGACCGCGGAGCAAATGCAAAGTGACATATTGAATTTCTTTAAATTTTTAAATTTGATAGAACATAGAAAAATATTAAACAAATGTCTACAAATATTTTGTAAGATCTTTTCAACAATAATACGAATCATCGACAGTCATGATTTGATTATGGTTGTCCAAAGAATCTTCGCAAATTACACTTTCGGAATTTAAATGAGAAAATATCGTCTTTAGTTTATTTATCGTTTAATTTTTTTAATTATAATGAATTAAATTTAGTTACAATTATCAAATTGATAGTGTTGGCAGATGAATTGTAACTGGATCACTTCGTACAAGATAAACACGTAAATTTGTGCACGTGTACACAATACGTACACACACATATATATATATATATAAATGTGATATCGTTCTCTTCAAGAATATTAAATATCTCTCGCAGAATGTTACGTTTGTTATTGTTATTGCGAAAGTTAACATTATTAAACAGATTTGCGCGACAAAGCAACAAGAAACTTGTAGTCTTCTCTTCTTCGGATATTTGATTCTAGAGAAGTCTAGAGAAGTTTATAAGATTTGTGTTCTATTCTTATACATATACATATACGTACACACACGCATATACATGAACGGGTGTCTAGACTCTCCGTTTACCACGGAAAAGTTCAAAATTACCTTTCTCCGAGTATTACCTACAGCGTTCATTCATCATTCACAACCTGTCGTCTAGACTGTGACTGTTTCAACTAATTTGGTCCGTGCATTTTTTTCGCGAAGTCAGCACCGAGAAAAGCCCATAGTTCAGTTTGCTTCTGTTTTGAAATATTTCCAATTTGTTTTCCTAAAGCAATCGATAATTTAAACAAATCAACTTCTTCTGTCGTATGTTTCTCATCATTGTTTAAAGTATATCACTATAACATTAGAAACAATAAAACAGAAAATTTTATTAGAATCCTGATATAATAGAACGATGAGGAATTCACACAAAAATTCAAAAAACAAAATATCGCGAGTTATTTTTAATTTTTATATTTCTCTCTAATAATATTTAATAATTTGTAATCGTTGTACATAAGTAAAGTGGGATTACTTACACTAAGACTATAGTGACATAATAAAGGTATGATGGTGGCGAGCGAATGTTTAACTAAAAGTTAAACTATACTCGAGAGGGCATTATTTACTAAGCTAATGACCAGTTTCCACGTTGTTCGGCAATCAAGCGAACAAAGGACTTCCGGTCACGTCGACAGACCGTCGAGGACTCCAACGCCATATCCAGTTTGGACTACTCCTTCACGCCGCAACTTCGCTAACAGTAGTGACGCTATGCAAACAGCTGTACCTCCCTCGCTTTTAAGTATGTGGCGTTAGGAATTAACGGAGCATACATGATAATGGATGTACTTAGAATAATATAAAATATTTCTTAAAAAGAAAGAGACTTTTGCGATATAATTTTCGATATTTCCCCATGTTTCTATAATTTCCATAATTTTTTTATTTTTTCTTCATGTGTCTTATATGTCTTTCTAACAAAAGTGTGCTCGCAAAAATTTTTATCTGTGCTCGGAAATAATAATTCTTACGGCAGAAACGTGTAATCTTTTAATGCAACTATGGGTAATTTTAACATCATTTAATATGTAATCATGCGCATTTAAAAGATCGTTTAAGACTATCAAAAATACAGTAATAAATCTTCTTCTATAATATTTTGTTTCTCAACTAATGATGCAACAAGAGTAACAAGATATTAATGATCTCGCATTCAAGGCAAACATACGGATTTCTCCAACAAGCACGAATACGCGCATATATTGGCGTATGAATGAAAGAGCTCTTTCAAAGACAGATAACGAGGTAGCGAAAATAACGATATGCGCGATACGAAGCGTGCAATTTCCTAATGTGGCCATTCTGCCGATGGCAGAAAACATCTTTGATTATTCGCGTAATAAGCGAACGCGCGAGCTCAAGTGTTAATGGGCATGCAATGATTATCCGAGCGCAATTAGAAACAGTAAGAAGGGCCCTCACTTTGGTATACGAAGCAAGTTTTATTATTTCGCGAGATTTTCCGCGTTTTTTATGTCCTGCAACAACCACAATATCTCTCTACCAAACTATGTTAATGATGCACAGCCGATTAAAGGTTTTAATTCCGTGATTACGATCGCTCTCCTGGACATTTTTGTTCGCAGAGACAAAAATAAAAGGCGAGCTTGTTGATCATTAAAGTCGATCTGCTCGATGAAAAGTCACAACCATATTGCTATGCACTTAGTCGAGCGAGAAAATGCATACTGCGCTCGAGGGATTGAACCTCCTCGAACACTGGAAAACGAGTGTGTGTCTCGTATTTCTTATTTTATGGAAGATAGCGCGGTATTCTGCGGAAAATGCGCAGTAAGTATCCTCTCTGTCTCCGAGGACTCGAGGAGAGGCTGAAAATATACATCGCTTAAGAGGAAAAAGAAGAAGAAAGTACACGTACCATGAAATCGAACAAGGATACATAGACATTGTTGATCTACGAGCAACGCGATCGTAAATACGCTTCAAAATAATCGGAAAAAAATATTTTGAAATAAGTAGCAAGAGAGCTTGTTCAATGTTTCTGAAATTTTTAATATAATAATTATTAATATTACTATCATAACATCTTTTGATTTCATTTTACATATTGAGCCTTAATATTCAAAATTGATGATGCTCCTGTCAACGAATTTAATTAATTTAATTAAGTTGACACGAGAATTTTAGAGAGTATATATTTTTTAATAAAATATACAACTAGAACAGTTTAAAATTGCCATAAAATTAAAATAACAAAGATTTGTTTTTCCTCGCACGAGGAAATTGCGAAACGTCACGACGCGCGTACTTTACGACGTGCTTCTTGTTTCTAATTTAGATAAATAAGTGCGAAAATAAGCGGCAAAACCTACGGGCATTTAGCACGGCGTTGGAAATCAGTCGCGTTTACATAATTTCCGCTCGAGTTAAGAAAAGTTTCAACGATCCATTTTTCAAAGGCGCACACTTTAACGGCGCTTCGATAAGAACGCGCTGATAGAACAATTTCGCAACGAAGCGCTTCAAGACCCGAGGTATAAAAGTACGCTTCCACGTCGTGAGACGCTACGATTCTCTCAAGCACGTTGACCCAACATGAGCCGATTTTTCCTCTTCGTGTTGTTAATATGCGCCGTTTCAACCGCGTATCCATGTATTATAAAGGACAAGGTACGACGAATCATCTTGCCAAATAGATGGGTAGTGAAAATTATAGTATTACACCGTAATTATGTGCTAATCTTTCTTGGTCGTTCCGTCGTAGGGAAAATCGGATATTCGAGTGATCGATATAGAAGATTTCAGCACAAACGATTCCAATTCCGTAAGTAGTTGATCACATCACTCTTTAGCATAATCTTTCGCATATCGTTGTAACTTTTGAAAAATTATGATACCTTTCGCCTCAAAATATTGCATTTAAGTCTAATTATTTATTTCTGTTTTATTCTACATTATTCTAAATATGTGTTGTACCATCAATAACATCAATACGTATTTTAAAAAAAGGACGAATATTCGGATATTCTGACTTTACATCTCCCGGACAAAGGAAACAAAAAACAAACTGGTAGTCAAAAAGGGAAAGGTCACTGCAAAAAAGATGAAGATTGCGACTCAAATTCAATTTGTTTAGCAAATACTATCTGCGGTACGTATAAAAATTTTCTTACATTAAAAATTGCAATCAAATACGTCACTCGAGGAAATGTCACGAACTAAAAGTTTCTTTTTCTGGGGGGGACGCAGTAAAGGGAACACGGCGAAATTTAGATTCTCTGGAAACGAACACTAACCAATTAAAATTTCGACGATGCAATAAGGATCAACAATGTCCTCACGTCTCCGCACATGATGACAGTTATGCCGATAAAATTTTTATAGAGTAACCTCGTTTTCCGCGAACAATAAACGCGTTTGCATCAATCGAATGATTGATTTCCCATCATCGCCCATATCCAGCGGATATCTGTTTGCTTATCTGTATTTCGTGCGCCGAAATTTCCCACACTGCACATCCATCCATTGTCGACGCATGAATATAACATAAACCCGAAAATATCGAACATTTAATGGCGGCCCGACCGCGGACGCTAGCCTGTGTAGTAAAGCGGTTAAGTTACATTTTACATGCGGATTCGTAACGTCAACGCAGAGAGATACGATCGACGTTGGCGTAAAAGCCCGCTTTTCCCCTCTCCCTCAAAAAACAAACAGCATCGCCGAGGAAACATATGGCGCCGTACGATCGGGACTCATTAACGGCGAGAGAAGAGGAGAAATACGAGAGAGAAACTGTAAGAAAAGAGGAAGCTTAGCCCTCTCGCCGTAAATTTAGCAGGAACAACCGCTTTCGTCTGCAAGCACTGCTTGCAACCCCACCGTAACCACTGCTTGCAACCCCGGTCGAAACAGTGCGACGTCGTTGAAAAACCTTACTACGCATTAGATTTACACTCGAAATCAATTAGCTCCTAATTGATGAGTCGACGCGACACGCTCGAGTATTGTTTTATCGAGAAACTTTTGGATATTGGCGACGTGCCGACCGTAAAAACTAATACCGATATCGCTTGGGAAATTCTTGTCAGCACGAAAGATTTTATGTAGAAAGAACTATTGTGATATATAAACGACAATAGATAGTATATAGGTGACGGTTGTATCGATAAAATGTCATAACGAATTATAAAGTAACGAAGTAATGTAAAATAAATAAATCGCATATCTACAAATTATATGTTTTTGCAAAGTTCATCAATTATTTTTTGGCACGTCAACTTTTCATGCTGAAATAAATATCATGTCCAATAATGTATAAGGAATCAAGTGCTCATCGGTCAAGGAAGAATTGTCGGTCTTAAGCAAGCAGCCAACTTGGTATCTCGTAAAACCTCGCAAAACTCAGCGGTGGCGGAAAGATTTACGATTCTAGCAAGAGGAGCGTAACATTCGTAATATCCTTTCTTTGCGAGCAGAGGCGAACGGTGATTTTTCATACGGGCCATTCTTCTCTCGTCACGAAGTTTCGTTTAATTTTATTTTCATACGAAAAAATGAAAATCTTCGAAACACTGTGTAACAGCAGCAGCATCCAAATCCGAGAAGATTTGCACACCGAGGGAGAGACGGTCGTAAATATTTGCGCAAGCCGTTGACGCGGCGTCTGATGGCACGCGCGGCCAAATTTCAGCATGTCAAAATATTTAAAGTCGAGAGTGCAATTAATGAGACCTGCTTCCTTCTCTAATAAGTGCCAAAGGTGCGGCTCATTTCCGCTAGTCATTTACTGCTCACGGAAAGATATAATGCTCTCGAATAATTCTCGTTTGGATGGAATATCATTAAAGCATGTTCTTTGTATTATTGCATGTAATAAAAGTTTGGATAAAAGAAATCTAAACTGAGATTATTATAAATAATTGGTAAAGAATTTCTCGTATTTTATATTGCATGCATGTATGTATTTAAAAAATCATAATTGCATTAATTTATAATTAATCCTTATTAAAATATCTTTATTAAATAATCCTTATTAAAATATAAGTTCTTTTTCTAATTATATTTTGTATAATCCTAAAGTGAAAGCGAGAGAGAGAGAGCAAGAAAAAGAAAAAATAGCGCCGTCTAACTTTGGATTATTTAATACATACCGTTTCAATCGTCTTATGTTGTAATCAATGTTGTAAATAATTTATGCGTATTCTGTATATAAGTTCCATTTGTATATTTTATTATAGATAGTATGTAGTCGAGAAAGAACTCTGAAGAAAGCACGCAAGTTTATTTCGAGTGGCGACGATAATGAATCATTTCGACGAAAAATAGGCATCACGAAAGAAAAATTCCGGCATGCAGGACCAAGTTGCGGGGTCGCGTTTTTCTACGCTCAATTTAAACACCGTCTATGTGACAGGCGCGAAACCACCGTAGGCATTTGTGCGTGTGTGCCACGCATAGATCGCGACGACTCGTAGCAGACTCGTCGTTTTTCGCGTACCCTTTTCCCTACGATTTTATTTTATTTATCATATTACTGTGTGATTTCAACGTGCTGTGTGATTCCAACGACGAAGGAATAAATCGGCCATGTCTCGCGTCGTAGAAAAGAACGAAAATAAAATTTCGGTTGACGCGGAGAATTTGAAATGAAAATACTGTTAAAATAAAGCTTGCCTTATATTCAAGAGAATAAAATTTCCCTGTTAACTTTCGTATCAATTCGAGAAATTGAAATTAAACTTTCATGCATTATATGTATAGTATAATATTTGGTGATTCTCCTTCTTATCTCGTGAATTAAAAAAAAAGATTAATAAATTTACTGAATTCAATTACTTTTTTACCAACGTAAAAAATACGCGGAAGTTTACATAAAATATTTACGTACAATTTCATCGCATGATATTGCATTGCGATGGTTGGATGTCATCTCTTAATTGTGACAAATCGAATTCGTTCTTCCTAAAACGCGTTTCTCATGTATGCTCACATAGGACATTACATGATAGATTCCCACAGCGGTGCATTTACACGGAACATAATATGTCTGATCAGGATTGTAACTATCTCCATATATTATGTTCCGTATGTCCGGAAACACAGATTCCGACCAAGTATATCCACGTCAAACAATGTTCCGGGACGTAGATCTAAATGTTCCGCTATCTGCAATTATTTCAGCAATTAATCGTCCGTAAGTTCATGATTAAGACAATTTAACCGGTTCTCCTTTCGTTCTCGTCTCTAACCTTACCCAGCGATTATGATCAAACGAAATTATGTCGAAATGAACTTTAGGCGAGATTTAAAAAAGTATTAAGACTAAGCTACCGATTGCCTAAAGTTACAAAGATCCTAACTGATCGATCCTAAGTGATTTAAAGAATTATTGATTAATCTAGTTTAATCAAAGTTGTTACTGTATAAATCATTAATAAATAATCTTAAGTGAACTGAATGTTTTAAGCGAATCTTAAATTCCCTCTACTTCCTTTTCTTAAGTTTTTCAACACTAGCCTTCTCTAGACATCAATTGAAAAACAATCAGATTATCTTTTTTTAAATCTCTCATTCTGCTGTAACCTCGAATCAATCATCAATTTCGCTCCAACTTATCCCAGTCTTTCCAGCATACTGGGAAATCCTCCCTGAACGAAAACACTGACGAATGCGAGGATGACGGCGGCTTTTAACGATCGTTCCTCTATCTTCTGCGATGGTAAGTATCGAAGGTTTCCTCGACCAAAACGGGAGGTGCCTTCATCCCGCGAAAGTATCTGGAAAAATTCCTTCTCCCTCTCCCCCTCTCTGTCGACAATTCAGACATGCACAGTCGGCAGTCGAAAGGGATCGCGACCCTTTTAGATCTGTCTGCATTCTTACGTTCTGCCATTTCTGTTTTTCGCGGATTGATCTGAGATCGTTGCATTATTTTGCCTAGCAATGTGTCGAACGAAGCTGTCGATTAATGCTATAGATAAATAATGATTTCGATCGTGTCGAAGCAACTTTTCAATTGTCGCTTTAATCTATTAATATCTTCAAAATTACAGATGTAAAAAATATATTCGATGCAAAAAATAAATTATCTCATTATAAACTTTTCCTATTATTAATTAGATGTATGAAATAGGCAATCGATGCATGATATAATAAAAATAAAGCTGTTGCAGACAGAGATATGATATAATATTAAATGAATTGTTTCATGATAGACTACATTATGTATATTTTGTACTACGATCGATAAAATTGCTCTGTGGTATTCGTGTTAATTATAGTACGTCGGGAAACTCGTATTCCAAAGAGAACGAGAAAGTATGCGAGTGATACGTCGACGGAATGAACGTTTTTCTTGGTTTCAAAATGCGCGCTCGCATTTCGTTCGACATTTCGTGACCGAAAAGCCTCTCGCATAAAGAACATTTTTACGTCGTCGGAACGTCGCGCAGCTCGATGCGAAACGTTTATGTACGCGTATTAAAAAATTCTTCTCTCGAGATTCTCGGGAATCCAATCTTTTTCCTCCTCGACAGTACGGCGGGCTCGTTACCAGGACGCGCAGTTACGAGACAAGGAGGGGGTGTCATGGAAATAGAGTCTAAGCCCCGAGAGGAGCTTCGCTAAGCTGAGAGACAGGCACATGCGTACCCATATACAGAGCGAGCGAGCGAGCAAGCGAGTAAATTTCAGAGCGAAAAAGAGCGAGTGAGAGAATTTTATAGGAGGGCCAGTGAGAAATACAGTAGCATAGAGCAGGATATATACTTTGTGCACTAGAGTTAAGTCCTTTCAGGATACTATGCATGGTACATAAAAAATGATTTGTGGTCAACGTATGGAAACACCACTACCCATTACAGGAGGTGCTATTACTGTTATAAAAGGAATATTTTAGTCACTGAACAATTGAAATAAAATATTACATTTTATTTTTAAACAACAAAATATATTAAACTCTGTTTAATGTTAATAATAAATAATGATAAAACTAATTGTATTTTGACGCCAAAGAAGTCAAAGAATTCATTTCATAAATTACAGTGAGAAAGATGAAGAAGACTAAGAATAAAAAATGTGGCTCTTCTCGCGCGGATTTTAAGTAAGATTTAACGCGTGCGGGAAAATAGAGTAATAAGCACACACGCACACAAAGCACGATGTTTTCCCAGCATCGCTCATTCGCGTAAAACTGCCGGCTGATACGCGATACGCTTACTCGACTCGATTCCCCAAAACGTCGCCCTAACTCACTCGCAACCGCCCACAATTCGTCGTTCTGGACTTGTTAAACGCCCCAGCGATGCTACAAAGTCGCCCCGGGTGTGTGGAAACGATCCGCTTGGTAGAACGATGCGAGCGTATATCAGCCACTTTTGTGGCGCTTTCGCAAAACGATCCGCTTACTGGTTACAGGATCGAGGATCTCGTGCCGTGCCGTGGTAACATAATTTATTAAAGCACTCAGTAACTTAGTATCGTTTAGAAAGTTGCGCTCGCAAAACTTTCACCATCTTATTTTTCTCTACTTTTTTATTCTGATATCTAGAAAAGAAATATGTGGAGAGTTATTTGAAATTCTCGATTAAGGAAATAAATCTCTGTATTTTCACTGTGGGTTTAAAGGCTAATTAAATTTATTGTTAGATTCGTTGAGACAAATGCAATTATTAATTTTTCCGATTGGAAATTGCTCTTATTTCTTCATAAAGAGAGCCCCGCCGCAAGATATAAAGCATTAATAACGATATGCAGGCTACATGAATCGAATGCGGGAAGATAGAAAATCCGGAAAATCCGGAGAAGGAAAAATATGCGCCGAAGGAAAGGAGGACTCCGGGAGGGAAACGAACGATCCTGTTAGCTGGTTGCGCGAAAGTCATAAAGAGCCGGCAAATCTTTTCATTATCGCGCCGCGTAAGTGATACGTATATCATACTAAAGGGGCTATTTCGCGAGCATTATACCCGGGACGAAACGAGCCCGAGCCGCTCGCGGACTCGACGTCCTTCGCGTCGCCGCGTAAGTGCGTGCGAGGATTAAGCCGGGGCCATTTCTCCGGTTCGTCTACACCTCGCTTCGTCCTTCGCGCACCCCGCGTACTATTGCGCGCATCCCTCGCCGCCCTTTATCATCCCTTCATGTCGACTCGCCGCTCCTATCGGGGGGGCGAGGGGGAGAGATTCTCTTTACGAGCGTTAACGCGACTTCCGTACGGTGCAAC